TGGGGGCTCGCCGCCGCCGCCGCCGCCTTGGTTGCCGCGGGCAGCCCAGCAATTTGGGCGCGTCGTGCCTCAGCCTGCTGCCGGAGAGAGTTCAGCTCCTCCTCAGTTGCACGCAGCCGCTGCTGCACGTTGTCGCGCTCCGCCTCCGCCTTCTGCTTGGCCGCGGAGACCGCCTCGTACTCCTCTGCCGTCACGGTGTAGAGCGGGGGCGCCGCACTGTGCGCGGACAACTGCCGGGACCGCGTGGGGCTCGTCGCCGCCGCCGCCTTGGTTGCCGCGGGCAGCCCAGCAATTTGGGCGCGTCGTGCCTCAGCCTGCTGCCGGAGAGAGTTCAGCTCCTCCTCAGTTGCACGCAGCCGCTGCTGCACGTTGTCGCGCTCCGCCTCCGCCTTCTGCTTGGCCGCGGAGACCGCCTCGTACTCTTCTTGAGGAGTGATAGATTCTTCTTTTGGGGTCTTTTGTAGGGAATTGGCATGTATTTCATGAAGTTTGAGTGTACGTGGAAAATGATGGGCTTCGATGATGCATTGTAGATCTTGGCTTTGTGCTTTTTGTTGTTGGAGTACGGCGTCAACAAGAAGATGGTCATTGGTTGCGGTGGGACTGATGTATTGAATGGTTGCGTCTGTGCTACTGAGGACTTCGCAGTACTCTGCCCAGAGTGTTTGCTGGAGGTCTGCAGGATACGTTTTGACTACGTCCATCCAGTACTTGCCGGGGAGCCGCCTGTAGTAGTGGTGCACTGAGGCGTGGAGTGGTGTGAGTGTCTGCGGCGGCGTACGGTTTTCTTTTGGCGTGGCCTCCGAAGCATGTGCTGTGTGCCCCTTTGGGTTGTCTAGGAGCTCCTGCAGGAGCTCCTCGACATATTTTTTCTCAACATCCAGACTACACTGCAGTGCCTCTATCTTTTCAGTGGCCTGAAGAAGCGCTTCCTCCTTCTCTTCACATATCGTCTTGTATTTGTTAAGTTCCAGCAGATGATTTTGCACCTCGTCTTCCTCGAGCTTCGCACTCGTGCGCAGCTGCTTCAAGCTCTCCGTGGATGCCTCGAGGTCTTCTGTGGCTCCAGCAGCTGCTTCACCTTTCCCCTGCATCATTTTCTTTTCTATGGGACTCGTTTTGCTGACGGCGTGGTGCGGTGCCTGACCCGGCGTGAGTGTCTTAAGCCTCTTCTCTAATGCCTGCAGCGCTGAGTCTTTCTGCGCCAGCTGCCCCGAGAGCAACTGAATCATTTCATCCTTCTGCCTAGCATCCGCCGCGGCCTGCGTGATGGACTCCTCGTTGGTTCGCACCTTTTCCTCCAACTGCAGTACAGTTGTTCGCAGGGCTTTGATCTGCGCGGCCCGCCCGTCCGCCGCGGAGCTACCACTTTGAGCGTTGCTGCGGAGGCGGGTCGCAGTGTCCTCCAGCAGCAGAATATTTCTCTCCTGGTAAATTTGCAGCTGCACCTCCAGATCCTCGTTGCGGGCCTTCAGCTTATTGATCCGCTGCTTCTGGGAGGAGGTCTTCGCCTGCAGCTTCGTCAGCCGTCGCTTCTCCGCGGTGCGCCGCTGCTCGTAGTGCTGCAGCTTGGCGTCCACGTCGTGTTCGTCCCCGGTGACCTGCAAAGCCTGAAGGAGACCCTCCGCCCCGCTTAGCCACACCGTCCAATGCGTCGCACGGTACAACCGCCGCATGGACAAAATGGGGCAGTTCACGTGGCGTGGGGCAAGCTGAATGCGCTGTATCGGGGCCAGCTCCCGCGGGTTCCAGACCACCACAAAGCCGTCCTTTGCGCTGCTCCACATGCGCGGGGAGACGTGGACGATCGAGGTGATGGGGCCGCTGTGCTGCCCGTGCAACACCGCCACGCAGCGCCGCCCCTCGCCCCTGCGCCAGTCCCAGACGAGGATGCTGCAGTCGTCGCCGCCAGACCACAAGTACCCGCTGCGGGGGTGAACTTCCATGGCGAGAACCGGACCCTCGTGCCCGCGCAGCGTCGCCAGGCAGGCCTCGTCCGTCTTAATCTGCAGCGGCGCCTTCGGGTCCCAGACCTTGACGGTCGTGTCGTCCCCGCAGGAGAGAACAAACGCATCCTCCAGCCCCGCGCCGTCCGCAGCGGTGTACGCGTCATCTTCGTCGTCGCGCTCCGTCGCATCGTCGCCGGCCGACGTGGAGCTCGGGCCGGCGTGCCCAGGAACAACAATCACGCACCGCACCCGGTTGGTGTGTCCGGAGAAGAGCCGAATGTACGTGCACTTCGACCTTGACCACTGGTACACCTTCCAATCCTCCCCACCACTATACACATAGTCGCTCACGGCCGAGCTCGCGAGGGCGTGGACCGCGCCGGCGTGCTGCACAAACTCGCGCTCCAGCGTCCCAGTGACGGAGTTGTAGCAGCGAATAAACCCGTCCGAGAAGGCTGCCCACATCTGCCCCTCAGCAACTCTGCGCAAGACTGTGCAGAACGCCGACTGCCGTGCACTGACCTCAAAGAGGGTTTCTCCGCGAGGCGCAGCGCGGACCAGAATGCGTCCGTCCATCTCAGCGGTCCAGACCCGCAGCTTGCCGCCGTACTCCACCGCGCGTGCCGCTCCTGCGACGGAGTACGTGGAGACCGTCCTGTCGCATCGCTGGCTGTCGAGGGAGATCGAGCGCAGGGAGGGCAGCGTGGCACGGGAGGCCGCCGAGGGTGAGCCACGGCAAAACGGCTGCGACATTCGGGGGCCCGTGTGCAAGCGCCCGCGGTGGCGCGGAAAAAAAAGCTTTAGGAAGAAGAGCCCGAACTAACGTCGGCGCGTATGTGCAGAGCGAAGCAGACAAACCAACGACCACAACAACAAAAACAAGAACAAAAAACAAAGAATGAAAGAAGAGGGAACACGCCCGTTCTGCACTCGCCAAGCCCCACCGGGGAAGAAGTCTTGCCGGTTGTTCGCGCCGTCTTTTGCGTTGCCGACGCTTGCAGACAAAAGAGCGGTGCAAGACCGCAAAGTCAGGGGCACAGCCAAAGAAAGGAAAAACAAACAAAAAAGCACACAAATAACGCAGCACAATGCAGCGAACGGAAATGCGGGGAGGTAAACGAAGACCACGCACTAGGGCCGCAGCCTGACACCGCGGCCAGCACGCGCAAATAAAAGTATAGAGCGACGGCCATCCACCGACTCACGACACCAGCGCCGTAATGCGCGGCCCACACACACGCACTCAGAGACAACTGCGGTAATAAATAGACGACACCATCTTCCTTTCATCCGAAGCAAGAAGATCCAGAGGGCACGATGGTGACGAAAGCCATGAGGCAATAACTTCGGGGAAACTAGCGCATTTGGCCAGTGCCTTCACCACCACGCACCGTCGACACCCTGACGGGTGCTACAACCATACAGCATCACCGGCAGCAGACGGCAAGGGCCAACAGGGTGCCCAGCGAGCGCCGCAGCATCGTCACCACAGACCGTAGAGTCACTTGCGCACGTAGGCTGGTCTGCAAGACAGAAAAGAAGCAGCGGAGGAGAGAGCCTACACAGGGGAAAGGGCAGCACACACGTTTGGCGCCAGCCTCAGTTGTTCTCGTCGGTCGTCCGCGGCGCACACACGCACCGCCCCTCGGCAGTCAGCTAGCGATTAATGGTGGGCGACGCTCAGAAACACACACACAAACAGCCCCGCAACGAAGAAAAAGAAAAGCCCAGAAACAAACAAAACAAACAAACAAGGAAACAAACCAAAACCATTTTAAGGTAGGATAGTGCTGCAGCCAAACGCCTCCGGTGCGCGGACACTCATCCACCCGGCGTGCACATGGGGGTNCCTGAGGTGCGTTGCTTGTGGCGGGTGTGGAAGAACACGGAGCATGCAAGCGT